CTGTTATATATATTAATGTTGGTAAATAAACGCCTTTAAGCCAGCGTGTATAAATTAAGAGTTTAACTAGGCTCTGTAATATATAAATATAAATTTAACATATATAAGATAGGCAATAAGAGCCAAATCGCGGATGACAGTGCGTTATTCTAAACGAAACTAAATTTTTTCGTTAGAATTAAATACCTGTGCACAAGGCACCAAATTTTTACTTGGACACGGCCAAGATATAAAATTGGAATAATCTCTACAAGAGATTTTTAATTCCATGTATCCCCTATTCCCCCTAAAGAAATAAAGTGCGAGAGAAAAATATAGATCCGAAAGTCGCAGAATCGGGAATCGAACCCGAGACCTTTCGCTTGCCGGGCGACTGCTCTTCCAACTGAGCTATTCAGATCCTTTCGATTCTATACTTTTCTCTGTTATATATATTAATGTTGGTAAATAAACGCCTTTAAGCCAGCGTGTATAAATTAAGAGTTTAACTAGGCTCTGTAATATATAAATATAAATTTAACATATATAAGATAGGCAATAAGAGCCAAATCGCGGATGACAGTGCGTTATTCTAAACGAAACTAAATTTTTTCGTTAGAATTAAATACCTGTGCACAAGGCACCAAATTTTTACTTGGACACGGCCAAGATATAAAATTCTATATAATTCTAACGAAAAAATTTAGTTTCGTTTAGAATAACGCACTGTCATCCGCGATTTGGCTCTTATTGCCTATCTTATATATGTTAAATTTATATTTATATATTACAGAGCCTAGTTAAACTCTTAATTTATACACGCTGGCTTAAAGGCGTTTATTTACCAACATTAATATATATAACAGAGAAAAGTATAGAATCGAAAGGATCTGAATAGCTCAGTTGGAAGAGCAGTCGCCCGGCAAGCGAAAGGTCTCGGGTTCGATTCCCGATTCTGCGACTTTCGGATCTATATTTTTCTCTCGCACTTTATTTCTTTAGGGGGAATAGGGGATACATGGAATTAAAAATCTCTTGTAGAGATTATTCCAATTTTATATCTTGGCCGTGTCCAAGTAAAAATTTGGTGCCTTGTGCACAGGTATTTAATTCTAACGAAAAAATTTAGTTTCGTTTAGAATAACGCACTGTCATCCGCGATTTGGCTCTTATTGCCTATCTTATATATGTTAAATTTATATTTATATATTACAGAGCCTAGTTAAACTCTTAATTTATACACGCTGGCTTAAAGGCGTTTATTTACCAACATTAATATATATAACAGAGAAAAGTATAGAATCGAAAGGATCTGAATAGCTCAGTTGGAAGAGCAGTCGCCCGGCAAGCGAAAGGTCTCGGGTTCGATTCCCGATTCTGCGACTTTCGGATCTATATTTTTCTCTCGCACTTTATTTCTTTAGGGGGAATAGGGGATACATGGAATTAAAAATCTCTTGTAGAGATTATTCCAATTTTATATCTTGGCCGTGTCCAAGTAAAAATTTGGTGCCTTGTGCACAGGTATTTAATTCTAACGAAAAAATTTAGTTTCGTTTAGAATAACGCACTGTCATCCGCGATTTGGCTCTTATTGCCTATCTTATATATGTTAAATTTATATTTATATATTACAGAGCCTAGTTAAACTCTTAATTTATACACGCTGGCTTAAAGGCGTTTATTTACCAACATTAATATATATAACAGAGAAAAGTATAGAATCGAAAGGATCTGAATAGCTCAGTTGGAAGAGCAGTCGCCCGGCAAGCGAAAGGTCTCGGGTTCGATTCCCGATTCTGCGACTTTCGGATCTATATTTTTCTCTCGCACTTTATTTCTTTAGGGGGAATAGGGGATACATGGAATTAAAAATCTCTTGTAGAGATTATTCCAATTTTATATCTTGGCCGTGTCCAAGTAAAAATTTGGTGCCTTGTGCACAGGTATTTAATTCTAACGAAAAAATTTAGTTTCGTTTAGAATAACGCACTGTCATCCGCGATTTGGCTCTTATTGCCTATCTTATATATGTTAAATTTATATTTATATATTACAGAGCCTAGTTAAACTCTTAATTTATACACGCTGGCTTAAAGGCGTTTATTTACCAACATTAATATATATAACAGAGAAAAGTATAGAATCGAAAGGATCTGAATAGCTCAGTTGGAAGAGCAGTCGCCCGGCAAGCGAAAGGTCTCGGGTTCGATTCCCGATTCTGCGACTTTCGGATCTATATTTTTCTCTCGCACTTTATTTCTTTAGGGGGAATAGGGGGAAAAATCTCTTGTAGAGATTATTCCAATTTTATATCTTGGCCGTGTCAAGTAAAAATTTGGTGCCTTGTGCACAGGTATTTAATTCTAACGAAAAAATTTAGTTTCGTTTAGAATAACGCACTGTCATCCGCGATTTGGCATCTATTATATATTTATATTTATATATATTACAGAGCCTAGTTAAATTATATATATTTATATATATATATATATATATATTATATATATATATATATATATATATATATATATATATATATATATATATATATATATATATATATATATATATATATATATCTATATATATATATATATATATATATATATATATATATTTTATATATATTATATATATATAATATAAATTATTTATTTGTTTTTCAAGTTTTTATGTGTATGTATGCTATTTCGCGCAGTTGTATAAAATCTTAAACGATATTTTATTAAGTATTTCGTTGACAAATATATATAGCTGTGACTTTAATAAATAAGCGAGAATATATAACCGAATATATAACCGAGAAAAAATATGCTGCAAGTCGTGATTTAAAAACGGTTTTACATCCAGAAAATGAACATTTCGAACCTGCTGAACTAATCTTGTCATCTTCGTTTGTGTCAAAAGTTTTGCAATTTATGTTTCATTTTTGCGATAAAATACGGATATGCAAATCCATACATTCGAAATTTTTATCAATCTGTCAATTTATGTAGAAAATATAACGCGACTGATGCAATTCGCTCGTGTCTTTTATAATCTACCAAACATGTTTTTCGCGTTTGCGAAAAATAAATTACATTTGATTCCATCTATATATAGTGAGTGTAAATATAGATGTGAGAGAGGACGATTTAAAAGACAAGCATTTAATATATATTCTATATATTCAATAGAGAATAAGAAATACTGTTTTCATACACTAGATAAAGTCAAACATGACTAATTTCTCGTAAACGAAAATATGTTTGCTAGAGTATATAATAACTGACGATAGTCAATATTGTATGAGTAAATCTAGTCATTTAATTTATATTATATATATACTATTAATTTATTGCATATTAATTATTATTATTATTAACAATTAATTATTAAGAATTAATCATTAATTAATTAATAATTACTTGTTAATCAATTTTAGTATTATATTATAGTATATAGAATATAGATTTTAAGATTATTTATTTATCTCGAATATCTTAAATTTTTGAAAGTGTGGGTAATCATCCCCACCGCTAAGCTAAAACAAACATAAATTGTAGAACTTTGAGCATAAATAAAGCGATAATAAAATTAATAGAACACATATAAAGAGCAGGTCGTTTCTGACGCTTTTGACGACAACGTTAAATAGGACTTGCAGATACTGATATTTTTTCGCTCGTACATTTATGTTGATATTCGTGTATTATATAATTCGTATATCAGAATCGGTAAATATTTAGTCATATTTTTATGCACAAGAAATTATTTTATATCTACTTTTCCGTCCAATATATCAAAACTAATATAGAAATGGAACACACATAAATATGCAATTTTGGAAGATACATTTCATTTACTATATTGATAAAATGATATAATATTATATAATAACATAATAAAAAATATATAAAAAATAAAAATAAATAATAATAAAAATATAATAAATATAATATTACATTTAATATGCCATGGTAGATTATAATACACGAACGACAAAAAATAAACGGAATTATATATATATTGTCGTAGTAAACTTTTGACAGTGAGTCACTTCCACAAGCAACTTCATCGCCAAATTGTTACAAACAATTAATAAATTGTTAAAGCTCTTAGCACAAACAAAAACGATAAGATTAATAAATCAAAGCCAGTTTGTGTATTATAATTTTTATCTTATTATCCAGTAAACGTTTGGTCATATTTTTATTTAAGAAAACTAATTTATATATATGTAAATTTATTATTATTAATAATTAATTATTAATTATTATTTAAATATATTTATGTTAATATTGTATAGAAAATATTGTATATAAATATCGTATATAAATTTTTACATAAGTATTTTTAATTATAAATTGATTAATATAATTCTTAAAATAGTGATACGAAATTAAATAAACCGAACGAAATTTTTGGGAAATGTGTGGGGTCTCCCCACCGCTAAACTAAAACAACCAAATAAATTGTAAACCTTTCAGTCTAAATAAAGATAATAAAATTAATAGAGCAGATTTGAAAAGCAATTCATTTCTGACTCTTTTGATGATAACAGTGGATAGAATTTACAGATATTGATACTTTTTCGTTTTCACTTTTATTAATATTCCCTATTTTCTATATTATTAAAATCGGTACATATATATTTAATTATATTTTTATGCATAAGAAATTCATATCTAATTTTACGTCTAATGCATCATAATTAGAAACGGGAAACGCATTGAATTATGCAATTTTAGTATAATAGTAGTATTAATATAATACTGTCATATCCATATCAGTTTTCAACTTGCCTCACGTTTTGCTGTGATGAACTTCATACACATATTAGAGTCTTATTAGAACATGAAAAGAAATCTTGTAAAGAAATTTCGCTAAGAATATATTTATTACAATCACAAGCAGATTTTTAATTTAAGAAAAAATTGAGAATGAGAAAATAAAATATTTTCATTATCTTTGCGAGATACGATCAAAAAGTAATTTAATGACGTAATGTAATTGTCTACATTGTTTGCATTTCAGTACGCCGGCGTACGATTATGCACCGAATCCTGATAAGCAGTGCGGATACTTCAAGTTACGCAGAAGATGCAACCCATTCATAAGCAGTTTACAGATCTCTTAATGACGAAAAGACTGCAAACTTTACAGAGCGTCGACGCTGCCGTAGACAGGGTATGTATCATATTTGAATGACTTACAATGCTTGAAATTTAAAAATATCGCATTATAAAAAAATTATATTTTACAATTTTAATTAAATTAAATAATTCTATATAATTAAATTAACAAAATTAAATAATTTAATTAAATAAATGGATTAAATAGAATCATTTTAATGACATTTTGTCATTATAATTTTGTTTTGAGAACTTTTTTATAAAATCGAAAAAATATTAAAGTATATATTATTTATTCTATTACAGATTTATCAAGAATTAAAGGATTTGGGTGAACTGGATAATACGTATATTATTTATACGTCCGATCACGGATATCATTTGGGACAGTTCGGGCTTATAAAAGGCAAGAGCTTCCCGTTCGAGTTCGATGTGAGGGTGCCATTTCTCATCAGAGGTCCTGGCGTCGAACCCGGATCCATGTAAGTCTCTCAATTACATATTTAATATTTTCGGCGTTCTTTGTTATTAAAATTCAAAATTACATGCTTCATCTAATGGTTGGTTGGATAACAAACTTTAGACAAAGTTATGCAAGAGAAAAAGATAAAAGGAAAAATTAAAAAATTTATACATGTACTAACTAAAAAATTAAATATTTCATGGATATGTCACATGTGCATGTCTGCAGATCGATCGTAATTAAAATCAATCGCATAATACGATAATGCGTATTTGCGAAAAATAATATAGAAATATTAGTCAACAGTTAGTTCTACAGTTTTTAATTCTTTGATAATATTGTCGCCCAAAAAAGGGAATAAAAATAAAAATAAAAATAATAAAATAGCAGTTCTCTGGTGCTTGCATTATGACGATTTAATGACGCCTAACTTGTTAGGACGTTACTTACTTTGCAAATACAACGATGTATCTGTAAAGTGTAATTACACATTATAATTACACAAAATCACAATTTTTTGGCAAAAATAATTTCTTCTGATTTATTTTGCCTATAAAAATTTTGAGTGATATTAAAAAATGAATTTGATGCATGTGCGTGCATACGAGAAAAAGTTATTTCATTTTATATAACAAATATTTCAAGTATTATGTTATTAAATGTAAAATATATGTATATATATATTTATTTCCGTAAATAATATTTATTCAATAAATGTATATACCTCAAGTTTTATATGTAGTTAAAATTTTATACGATGAATAATTTCGTAAAGCAATTGTTACTGATCTTACACAACTCTGCAAACAATTTTCAATGACTGCGTAAAATTTAAAAGTGACAGTTCAAGTAAACGACCTATTCGAAAACAAAAATACGTTGCTGACCGGTCGACCAAGAAGCTTAAGTATACGAAAAAAATATCTCAATTCGTAGGTCCAGCATAGCATCGTGGTCAAGGGTCCAGCAACCGAAAATGGAGATCCCGAGTTCGAGTCCCGAGTCAGCCGCCTTCGTCCGACGTTTGCCACTCATACGACTATGTTACAATTTATGTTTGACTTAGTTTAGCCGTGGGGTACATCGAAGCACGAGCACCCCACACTACCAAAAATTATGCGCCTAAGCTATATTGTATATAGTTACAGTCAAACAGTCCTAGTGACCATTGACTGGGGGAACCGCCTTTCTGATCACGGTAATCCCCGACGCGTTTAGTTTGCATATAAACCAAATTTTTGAAATAGCGTTCTTATATAGACAGCTGGTGTTATTTTGCTCACGGAAATCACTTCTCGGTCCTCGCCATCTGTTGGGGAAAAGTAGATATAAAAATCCAAACACGCACACGTACATACACAAACACAGGTTTATATATACACACATATAAATATACAAATACATGTCTCTCTAAATTATATTTTTGTTTCCACAAGAGACGGCGATAAGCATGAAGTGATTCCGCGTAAGCAAAAATAAATCATCTGTTCTATAAGGAACCCTATTTCAAAAATATTTTTATGCACTTATATATGACTGCTTGTCTGTAACTTTATATAGAAACATAATTTTTCGACAATGCTGAGGAGTCTTGCGCAACAGGAACTCCTCACGTAAAATAAAACAAATATAAATTGGAACTTGAAACATTGTAACACTGAGAATAGTTTAAAGAGACGTGTAAAGTCAGCAACAACTGCGTTACTTTACGAAACATTTATCATATAAAATGAAACTACATATAAAACTTGAGATGCACGTCTTCATCTCTTTATTGCATAAGTCTAAATGATTTGAAGGTACAAAATACGGCTTTACTGGATTTTAATTCTTATTGGATACAAATTTATTTTATTTTTTTTTAATTTAATTTATTACTATTTATCAGAATATGTTTGTCTATAACTTTATTAAACTAATTTATATATACTTAATTATATATATTTATTAATATTATTAATATTATAATATTATTAATTGAGATAACATGATAATTTTTTAATAAAAATTATTTTTGAAAAAATAAAAACGTAGATATTTGACGTAATTATTTTTAAATTTAATTCTTCTACACTTATATTGATTCTATATTTTTCAAAATAATCTTTTTCTCAAAATAAATGTACAGAAATTTTTCAAAATAATTTTTAAAAATAATTTTCTTGCACAAAAATATCTGGATCTGACTCTTATTTTAGCTCTTTTCGTATCCAGAAAAAACTCGGACTGCCTGTGCAAAATGTAAATCTGACATATTTCAATCAACACCATAATAATGATTTGTCGCTACGCTGTAATTTTTGTCTTCCTCTTGCGCTTTAACAAATATTTTCTCTTCAGAGATATCTCATTTCACCGATATTAAATTATCTCTGATTAAAATCAAATTGATCACTTACCTTTTTATAAAAAAAAAAAAAACCTGCAAACAGAAGGAAAAGACAGTTAAAACCGCAGTTGAAGTTGACAGTGGAAGCTGATATTCCTGAAAATGGTGTCTAACGGATTCCTGGATATAGGAATCGTCTCTAACGGTTCTCTTTGAACTTGTTCAAATCGAAAAAATGCTTATCTCTCATACAAACTCGCGAAAACGGGGATGCGTTGACATATGACCTGTCAAGTATATTCGATATGTCGCATTAATGCATTTGATATTCTTTCAGCAAGAGGAGAAATTGTCTGGCAAAATTGCGATATAAACGTGTTAAAGTCCCTCTATAAAATATGTAGATATTTTTGCGTATAAAAAGTCCGAGTTTACACTGTATTACGGTACATTACTGTTGTCAGGCATCAGGCGGCTATCTTGTAAATCGCAATCACGAATTTTGTGGTCCATAAAGCCGTTACGTAACTTCTTATCGTTAGGTATGATCCGGCATAAGTGACATCTTATCGCAGGTCATGATCCCGGCGTAAACTTTTTTTTAAACTCGAGTGAACGCTTCAAGACCTTGCTTTCCCTCGTCAGGTACTCGGCGAAATCAAATAACGAGTATGTTATATAAAGTGCATGACATGACATGCATATACTTGCATGCATCTGTGCTCGAAGGAAATAAATGTGACGATGCCATATGTTATCGTTACTATGTCGAGTGCAATCGCGAATTTATAGACAAGTCGGTTCCAAATGTTGATCTGATTCCTATATAAGTTCTGTTATTTGATAAAAAATTTTTTAAATTTATTTTATTAATTTTCTATTTTTTTTTATAATTATTTTATTATATTAAAATTATTTAGAATAAATAAATCTTTAAATAAATAAATTCTTAAATAAATTCTAATCTGTTATATATTATAGGTTTTTTACAAATTCATCGATCATTATGACATTTTTTCCATTTAATGAATTTCGGGGTGACCTAAATAGATGAAAATCTGATGAAGCAAGGACTGGAGAATAAAGAGGATGAGATAGAACCGACCATGAAAGCTCCAGAATTTTTTTCCGGAGTTATTTTAGTCGCATGTGGTCTCTGATGTTGTCTCGTAGGAAAAGCGCATTTTTGCTTTGTTACAATTTTTCTTACTTGTTTTAGTTCTTTTCGATTTAAAAATTCATGCGGTTTCTCAGAAGAAGTAATTCTATATTTATAGGAATTTATACAGGATGTCCCATAAAAAATTGTTGAAACTAATCAGATGTCAATTTTTAATGTATGTATAATTATTGAAAAAACAAAAATTGTGTTGAAAAGAGAAGTCTGCAGTTTTTCATATTTATCATTAGTTTATGTGATTTTATGTGATTATAAATAAAATTGGTATATAAACATTTTATTTATACCAATTTAATCCATTAAAAACTGTAGACTTTCTTCTTTTCAACAAAATTTCTGTTTTCTCAATAACTGGATGCATTAAAAAATGACAGCTGATTAGTTTCAACAATTTCCTGTAGGACACCCTTTACTAATCTCTTTTTCTCCCTCTCTGCCTTTCATTGACAATTCATGCTGCTCGACGCACTTACAAAAATAAAAAAAAGAATAACTAATGAAATAAAAAATAAAATTAATATTATAAATACAATAAAAAATTAAATAAAATTAATATTATTATTAAATATTTTTCAATCCAACGTTTCTGGATTTTTGAGTTATTGCCGTTGGCGAATCGATCGTATCGAGACGCAGGTGCGATGTTACAACCGTTTTTGGTCTCGCACGGAGAAGAGCGGCTCTATATCTCTCTGTCTCTTTCTCTCTCCGAACCGTCAAGATTTTGTCGGGAGGTCGTGGAAGAAGAAGCCTGCAACAGAGAGGAGCCGAACAATCGCAGTCGGACGAACTCGCTTGGCGGGATCGAAGCTCCGAGAATTTCGCGGGAATGCCATATATATTTGTCCTACGACGCGGCCGAAACTCGCAGAACCCGATGAAAAATTCTGATTCTGATGAAACTTTACACACACGTATGTAGGAAGGATGAAAGATGAATTTAGAAATTTTCAGTGGTCGCCCGAAAACGATTCTGGATGAAGAAACCCATCTCTCGTATTTGCTTTTATCATATATATTGTATTTCGAAAAAATACTCGAGATCGACAAATATTTCATATAAAATATTAATATAAATAAAATATTTATATTCATTCATTCATAAAATATTTAGTTTATTAAATAAATATTAAGTAAGGTAGTTATAGTAATTAATTATATTTAGATTATGAATATTATATTATTTATATTTATATTTATTAATTAGATATATATTTATTTATTATTTATATTTATTAAATAATATTTATTATTTTTTAATATTTATTAATAAATAAATATTTATTTATTTATTTATTAAAATATTGATATAAAATATTTTGGTATTTACCAAAGTTTTATGGTAAAAATATATCTCTATTAAAAAAAAATGTCACGGGAAAAAATGAATTGGATATAATTTTGTTCTAAGATTTTTAAGAAATTTTTTTCACGATTTTATTAACATATATATTTTTATCTTCTGTAAAACTTTTGTAAAACATATTTTTAAATATCTCAAATATTTTCGAAGTATATAGAAAAACAAAAACCGCTCTACATATGAAAGATGGTTTCACCCCTCAGAATCGTTAATTGAAAATTTTTTAAATTCATCTCCCTTGCATGTATATGTAAAAGTTTCATCAAAATCGGAATTTTCAAATTCACGAGATTCTCTTGTTGGTTTTTATCCTACATCGAGAATAAAAGTTGCGAGATATATTCAAATAAAATGAGATAAATTAGAAATGACAGATTAAATAAATATATTTATTCAGCTCTTTAGGGTAAACTTCTTAGAGTATACACAGTTGAAAAATTTGTATTAAATTTAACAAATATCACATGTTTCAAACGGTCCACAGAAATTTTTGTGTCAATTTATTATAATATGGATATGTTATATATAAATGATAACATAAGTACTTAATATTTTAATATAAAATAAATGCAAACTTCAAATAATTAAGAATACATTTTGTGTAAAATTAACATACTTTTAATGTAAAAATCAACTAAGAAGAACTGCTAATTTTACATTTTAATCATCCCCATTTATATTATAAAATAAAATCAATATTTTTTTCTGTAGATAAATCTTGACACTATTAAAACATATGTTTATTATGTAAAATTAAAAATAGACGCGCAGTGCGTTATTTTCACACTTTTCCCAGTTCTTTTAATAACGTAACATTTGAATTCAATTACCACATTCATATGTTAAATATTTTTAACAACGGGGACCGTTTTTAACAAACAAACTCTCTCGACTGTAAAGAACAGCCGGTTGTGTGTGACATAAATAAAAAAATAAGGAGGAAAAGGGAGCAGCTGAAATGGCGAACATGAGAGAGAGAGAATGAAAGGGAGGATAAATTAATCGAGATTTTAATTGTACGCACGTGCGTCCCTCGCGTGAATAAAGAACGTCGATCTGGCCCCGTTTAACAATATACGGGCACAAAGTATCGTGTGGAAGCCGCTGTTACGGGCACGTTGTAATTTACAGACGATGCAGGTTGAAAAACAAGACGAGCCGGGATTTCGAGACCTATCTTGCGTACTGATTGCAAATTCCCGGCTGTAAAAACAGGCTCGTGCCCCGGCCTTACGTAACGAGCGATTTATCGCGAACCATACTTGACTCCAATTACGCATAATGCGGCATTGTGCTCCGGAGGGAGGTAAATAGAAACCTCACTTCTCAATTGAACGCGTCTCGATTATCCTGATTGCATTTATACGACCAAAGGTCGAGTTATGCGCGAGTTACAATGCCGCGATAAAAGAGTCTATTCTCCTCGTATACCACGCCAGTAATAATCGTTATAAGCACTGGCCGCAGTAAACATCTCTATTAAGAAGCTATTTTTGATCTTATCTCCTCTCGAGAGGCTCTTGCTAAATGGAGCTCTAATATTTTATCTTCGAAAAATTGCGGAGACCAAAATTCGATAATCAAAATATTGAAAATTCCATTTCTAATTTATCACAACAATTTTGCGCGGTGAAACTTGTCCACCTTCAATTATATAATATAACATATAATATATAATTTTAATATATATAATTATAATATATAATATATATAATTATATAATATATAATAGTAATATATAATATATATAATATGTAATTTAAAATAAAATAAATATATGTATAAATATATTATTAATTATGTCCTGTAAGCAACGTAATTTTCGCAAAATGCGAACAACTCACAAAACGCAGATGCCTAGGAGCGACAGACAATCGAGACAGATTTATGCAGCAAACGGTAGCGATGCCTTACCTGTTCGATACCCGGCGTTACTCAAGTAAGCGGCGAAGGAGTGAGGCTCGTGATCTCGTTGCCACTGGGGACTGCTGCAATTGTCGTTGTTCGTAAAGACCTCGTGATTGTGAACGTAACGACCGGTTAGCAGAGAGCTCCTGCTCGGACAACACATGGGAGTGGTCACGTATGCGTGTCTTAGCTCGGCGCCCTCATCCCTTATTCGCCTGAGGGTCCGCGGCATGAAGTTCAGCGAACCTGAAAAATCAAACCAATCATTTTGTCAATGAAGAGATATTTTATTGTCTCCTTCTCATAAGCTATCTTATATTATTTTTTCGAAAATTAAGAAGCGAGGGAGTGAAAGCACTCCTTCATTTAGCATCTACTTAATTTTGCTAAGGAAGGAAATTAATATACCACTAATGTGATAAAGAAAATGAATAAATAAGGAAATAACAAAAATATTAAATAATAAAAATATGAAATATAAAAAACAATAAAAAGAAATAATAAAACAATAAATGCTGTTGCTACGAACCCAGTTCGACATCTTGATCGTCCGTCAGAATCAAGACAATATTGGGCTTTCTCTCTCTGGGCTGCTGATACGGCAAATACGGCGAGTTCGATTGATGATTGTGATGATTACTGTTGCCGTTGTAATTCGACTTGTGCACGGAGCCGCGACGTTGCTGCTGCTGCTGCTGACCATCGTATACGTCATCAGCAGGTCTCTCTCCGTCGGTTCGTCTGGCATTGACACCCAGCAGCAGGAGGAGAAGCAGAAATTGAAATAGCTTGCTCATGGCTGGCGGCTGGCTGCTGGTCGGCGTTTATAGGCTGGCTACCTCAATCCGGTGTGTCATACCATGGTTGCGACTGTGGAAAAGAACGAGACGCAAACGTTAATGGACACGTGCGTCTGACGGTAATTGGAACGCGGCGCGACAAGAGTGAAGTCTTAAAGGAATCTTTTCCTTCGCCTTCGTATACACCTAAAACGTATCTTTCCGAGTTTCGAGAGAGGCCAGACGACCAGGGGGATGATTGTATACGTGGGAAAGGAAATTGGCTGTCATAGAAATCATTCCAACAGTCTTTTTCCTTACTTCATATATATATTGCGCCGATTGATTCGACATATACACGTTTCTTCGAAATACGAAACTTAAATTGTAAAGTTCTCGCTATCGCAAAAGTAAAAAGCAATTTCTCTGGGTATGTATATGTGGGAAATATTCTAAGTACAATCATTATATGGAATGCTCTGCAATAATTTTCATATTTGAATATTTCTTTATACCCAGAAACCCAGAGCAGAAATTGAATCAGGGTGTAATAAGAGCAGGTTACCCTTAATTAAAGTCAGGTCCTGATAAGGCTTAAGGTCGAACGATCCAGGTCCTTAACAGGGTACCTTTCAGGTCCTTATCAGAAATTACGTTACATGCCTGATATGGTTCTCATCAGGATTATGAAAATGATATTTAATGTATCACTATATGGTTATCATTAATTTGATCATTTAGCAAACCATATTGTAAATATGTGTCTATACATATTTTGTTTTATATTAATTATTTTGCATTAATAGCTGCTCTATGTATCTAAAAATCAAACGCATTTAATGCATTTAGCAGAATTATTTCGAGAATTAAATTCCAAAATTCTGACATCAAAACGCGGAATTGTGTGCGCACACAACAATTTATCGTACAGTGATAAGGAAATTTTGTTTCGAATGCATTTCGAAATTTTGTTTCAAGCAATTAAACATCTATAGAGTAAAATATAGATATCGCATACGCGCGGTGAGGCAGATAAATAAATAATTCTCGATTCAAGTGTTCCGCGATCATCTGGAATTGTGCCATTGTGCGAGAATTTAATTCGCGGCGCGATCGAAATAGATTTATCGGGTAATCCCTTAATGTCCACTCTGCACTTTGCAGTTTGGCACGTGGACAATAAACTGTATCCAATAACGCGTTGCCCTAAACGTATCCGCATCCGTTATGCGCGTGCGAAACAATTAACAGATCGCATTATTGCTGATTCTCGATTAGTTGTTAACCACGAATGATGATCATTTATAAACTGTACTCATCAAAGGCTTTAACTGGAAACCGGACGTGATCGGTCTAATTAAATAACAGAAATACATACGCCATACTCGGAACGTGTCCCGTCATTCAGAAATGAAACATGAGAGATGAAAGGTGCAAAAAAGAATTACGTGCCCTAACTAAACCGTGGAACGAAGAACAAAATCATCTCCTCTTTGAAAAAAGAGCGATAAATAATCCCGCAAATCTATTATTAATTTTTAATTTAAATGTATATATATTATTAAAAGACAGATTATACTGGGTGTCTGATATAAGATGTCACACCGAAAATATACAAGTAGATTTTGTTATTTGGAGACTATTTTTATTTAGCAAAAATATTGCGGCATTAATCATTTTCGAGTTATATAAGCGATTGAAAATAAAGGGTTTTTGTTTTTCGCAAACTGAGCCTTGTGAAAATAAAATATTAATAAAACCACATTCTCCAATTAATTTCAAGTAGAGATTACTTTAAATAAAATTTTAATTTAAGATTTAGTTATAAATATACATGATAGCATAAATTGGAAACATGCAAAAAATGATGGCCTCCTTCGACATTTTGCTGAGGAAAAATCATCTCCAAATAACGAGATCTTCTATTTGTATATATTTTCAATGTATTACTTTATGTCAGATACCCTGCATAAAGCGTGTGTCGCCAACGCATGAATTTTATCTAAATATTTAATGAATATGTATTCCAAATTATAATTTATAATTATGAATTATAAATTTTAATAATAAATTATAATTTATGCTGAAAATATTCTCTTACAAGTCCTTTAAATATATATTTCATAATTCATATATTTATATTTCACAATTTATTAAATATTCTGTCAATGCAACCGCTTAGGTCTATTATAAATTTTATAAAGCAATATTGTTTGACAGAAGCTTTATAAATTTTATTACATTTTTTTTACAAATGTATTCAACTGCATATTTAGAATTCACACACAAATTACGCGAAATTATCCTATTATTATTTTTGTTTTGATCCGACGTATAAGTGTTGAAACCCCCTTGATCCAACTTATATTTATTATACTGATTGCAAGAGAGTCTCTTATAACATTATCTCGGCACAAATTTATCTTCCTCGGAACACTAGCGATTTTTTACGGTTAAATTTCCCGTTGGTTTCTCCCGTGGCCGGAATACCGATGAAAAGATTTCACAAACAGATGAAGTTTTACTATATGGATTTTTTTATTATCAGTGACGAGAGCTAGGCTCTCTCTTCTAACTACGTTTATCGGCTGCACGTGAGGCGCGTAAGAAAACCCGAAGAGTGCTTCATCGAGGCAGCCCGATATTTTGAAACATTTATATAGAAGGGAGTTAAAAGAGAGAAAATCAAACCGACGAGCCCTGATCGGATCGAACAGACGGAAGAAGCGTGTTCTCTCGCAGACAGTCAAATATGGATGGTTGCACGGCGAGTAAATGTTACGGTGCTGGATATGGAGAGTTCCCACGACTCGAGAGGAGGATGCTGAAGAAGGGTATTATTCGCGAAAATCGCGCCGCTTTCGACGTCATCTTCCTCGCGCATCCTCCCTCGCATATTACATCCTTCTTTCGAACAATACACATTTTATTAAATTTTTCCCATTTTATTTCTCGCGCCGCGTAGACATAGGTATGATTATATTTGGAATTTATTTTTATTTATCAAGAATTTTTTCGAGATATTATATATCAGATTATTAAAAAAATTTACTAAATTCGAATAACTATTTTATTTCAATATATGAGAGCCAACTCGCGCGAAAATTAATTTTTGCGGATTTTTTTTTAAATTTTAATCTTGATAATCTTGATTTGTCAAATTTAAAAGTCGGTTCTTAGGCCGATTTAATTATATATATGTTAAATATATTTTTATATTAAATAAAAAAATTTTCTTATATCAAATAAATATTTTTCACGTCAAATCAATATTATTTAGTTTAAAATAAATGATTTATAAGACATTATTAAAATAAATATTTATTAATTTAATAATTATTTTTTTCAGTGTATTTCTGTTCTCTGGGGAGATCAAAGATGCTGCATCATATCACGAAATTATTTTAATATCGCGTAGTGTCTAAGATAATAAAGATGACTAGCAACCAAAAGTCACCCCATAGATGAATCTTCACTTTTTTAAACGGTGTTATTCCTACTCACAATAGTCTCATTTATAGCAATAATTACAGATAAATATATGTATAAGAAATGCTTATAATATAGTTCTGTATTTTTTTAATATATTATTTTTTTTATTTCATATTATTTTATTGTTAAAAATATTATTCCAACACACTGAAAAAAAATGTTAACTAGTCAATTGTGATTAAAACCCGTTAACTAAATAATATTTTGTTAATTAAATATATAAAAATATTTAAATTAAATAAAAAATTAAATAATCTAACAAAACGTATATTTGACTTAAATACTATGTTCAATTAACAAAATAGTAATTTAGTTAGAAGGTTTAGTCAAGTTAACAAATTTTCATTGGTACTTTTGCTTTCCATATATAATGTCCATAAATTATTATAAAAATATATTTTGTCCGCGATATTTAATTAAAATATAGCGTATTGTAATAACATTATAGATTAATAGTAGCATCCAGGTGTGAAGGTTTTTTTAAGCAATCAATAATCTAGAGAATAACCCTCGTATAAGAGATATTATATATTGAATCCATCATATAAATTATCTAAAATGTATACGTATATGTCACGGGTAGATTAATGTATCCTAGCTTCTGACAGATCCGGTTTCAATACATTAATGGTTACGTGCCCACGTTACAATTGATTCAACTATCGTGTTACGAGATGATCTTCCGAAACGATTTCCTGCGTCACTTCATTAGGAAGAGCTCCGCGATTAAAATAATTTATGTCGAAACGTGGGTGGAGCGTAACTGATGTTGTGATATAAAAATTCGAGGCGCAAATAAATTTTATGTTCAAGTGTTGAAAGAAAAAATGTCTTACTTTAGTTATATAAAAAAGGATACTAAATAAAATATAACTTATATAATAATTGTATTAAATTGTTCAATTGTTTCCCTTCGAAAATTAATATGAAAAATTTTATTGAAAAGTTTTGATACGGAGAATTTTTTGTTATATTTTACCGCAAAATTCACAATAAATATCATATTTGGTAATAATAAACCGAAAATTACCATATGCTGTATTATCGTGCATAATTAATTAAGCTAGATTGAAAATATTTTATATTTTAAAATTATTGAAATTTTACTAGGTATATGTTTTAGTAAAATTAATCAAATTTTATATCTTTTTGTGGTAGATATTAATTTTTTTATTGTGGTAAATATTAATTAGCTAAACTGTTATAAAATTCTTCCAATATCATGTTTAGTTGAATTTCAGGACAAACTCTAAAAGAAAATTCTTTCTGTGTACTATTACAATATAGTATACATAAACTCAGTTTATATAAAATATAACTTGTTACAATTTCCATTATTTGAAAATTGTAATGTTATATTATTTGTCAAAGTAATTTATATAGAAAGAATATTTAAAACTAAATTGATAAATCAAATGTGGCGCATTAATTAGCTCTGTCTATTCGCGTGCGAGACCGCGGACAAGAGACAGCTGCAAACATCAAACGTCAAATGTCAAAAAGGGATGTCCGATGTGTGTTCGATCGTGACTATACTTGAGTTCGATCCTTCTAATTGCATATTAATTGCTAACAACCTCGTTTTTCTGTGTGTCAAGC